AAATTAGCCAACCAGAATTTCACACCACTCCATAATATTTCAATTTCACATAATTTCAATTTCACATACAACAGTATTTTGAAGTTGACCAATTGTTACTATAAGCAATTAATGATTATAGATGATCTGCACCGTATTATATATTTATTTTCTAATGTGAAATGAGTATTTCTTCTATTATTCAACAATATAGCTATTTAATTATAAGCAACACAAACAAAACAGGACGAACAGATAAATAATTAGATCATTTGAGATTTTATAGATAACTTTAATATTTGCATTTTAATTAGCATTAAAATTGATAAATAGATTTTGGTTCATAAAAAAAAATTTGAGAGCATTTCTTCAAACACGATGAATTTCAAAACTGCGGAACGATACACACACGGCTTTGCCTATACGAAAAAAGACAGGAAAATTGATATCATTTAACGTGATACATGCAGACCCTGTCATGGAAAAAATGTTGTATGATTTGGTCATGAAGCGTATGAAATTATTAAAATTGATTCTTCATTACAAGGATTTTTTACTATGTTGCAGATCGCCCTATTATATCACAAATTTATATCACAAAAATGAAATTAATGGCCCACATGTTATGTATATAAAATGTTTCAGCTATCACAGAAGCATACCAATCTGCATATATTCATATATAGAATTATAATTATAATAATGGCAATAAATAATAATCACTTACATATATAAAATAACTAATGATTAATAGTAATAATATGTCTAGGTTTGTTATGATACAAGAGATAAAATTTCTTTATATTTTAAAGGCTCAGGATTTTAAAGAAGTGTCATACGGTTATCTAAGAATTTGAAAAATAAATTTGTTTTATTAAAGGTATTTTCCTTTTACTTTCAATTCTTTTTTAAAGTTATTTGTATATATAGATGGATAGATTTATGAAATATGAGATAAAAATTTATTTGTTTGAGAAATATTTAATTAGCGGTATACAAAGAGGTAAATGATAATGGTGACAGTTATTATAGAAAATGTTTCAATTAATTGATTTATTGATTTAATTGATTGTTTATTTCATAATTCTATTTATCATTTAATTTATAGCATGTGCTTTGGTTCATGGTAGAGCAGTTTGTGCATTGTTTAAGGTAGGATGGTGTTTTGTTCTCATTGAATAATTCTTCTTACTTTCTAAAATTACACATAATTTTGAATCGTTTTTATTAATAATTGTCGAGCAGGAACACCAAATGATCTTACTATTCGTAACCGTTTGAAACTCAATGACCCACTCGATAAACAATCACTTTCAACAAAAGAGGTAATACTATTTATAGTAACGGTAACACTACAAACTCACCTATTTCTTCTTCAAATCAAACTCTATCACCAACCTCTCTCCGAAACCAACAGAAAATGAGTCATTTGTAGTAGATGAACGCGAGGGAATTATTGTAAGATCATTGTCATCACCACCATAACAATCACAGGAAGATTTTGAAAAACAAGCTCGTAAAAAAGAAGAGTTGCTATTCAAAGACGTAATGTTGAACAAGTTGCCAAAGAGGCATCTCAACAAAGAGCTTTCGAAGAAAAGAAAAAAACAAGAATTAGAGAAAAAGAAAGAGATGTTGCTGAAGCAGAAACTAGAGCTGAAATTAAAATCGTGAAGAGTTTGAATAAAAACGAAATGAAGGACTTTTGATCTAAATTTGCTGAATTGGAAAAAGTGGAAAAGTTAAAATTGTCAAATAAAATTTTTTTGAGGAGTGATGGTATATAAAAATAATAATAATAATAATATGTTATTGTTGTAGATTACATTAAATTACTGATTATATAAGTATTTTTTATTGACGTAATCTTTTTTATTAAATAAATAAATAAAGTTTTGGAAACGCAGATTTTTTGAACTTTGTGGTAGAACTCTTTACCTTTTCTGTGATGAAAATGACAAACTTCCGATATTCAAACCTTAACTTGATGGAGAAGTTCTAGAATAACAGATGCACAACCTGATGTTTTTGATATTCAAAGTTGATTTTAAATCATTGGAATTTTATTATTTCTTTTCTGATAATAAGAAGATCATATGGGGTGTGGACAATAGAAACAAGGTAAACATCAATAGTACTACTTGTCCACCCCTATATCTGGTTACAAAATTATTTTATTTATGATTCTAAAGCTCTTGTCCTTGCTCATACATTGTCATCAGACATACACACCCACAGGAATCTAAAAGTATACGACGAGAATTAAAATTAACATTTGAAATATTTAAAAAATATATGTATTATCCTCAAATCTTTATTTTTCATAATTAATTAATAAAGGAGTCAGTTTAATTTTCTGTCATTAATGATGCAAGTGGATCGTCTTTACGAGCCTCCCCTAATATCTTATCTATCTGTTTATTTTTTACTGCATTCTAATTTTATATGCATAAAAAATCAACTATTGATATTTTTTAAAAAAATAAAAAACCTTGTTAATTAATATGTTAATTTACCTTAACACATTCTTTATATTGTTGAAAAAGCTCATTACAATCAGGATTTGGATTCCCTTTAAGAAAATTTTCAGAGTACCACCAATTGAAACAAGCATCGTATTTTTCTTTGAGCTCATTACAATTTTTTCCAATACTTTGCGACATTTTATTTGTTTGAACATAAAAAATGGGTCCCAAAAAGTCCGGTAGAACCCTACATAGGATGATGCTCGTACAATTGTATTATGCAAATCATTTAGGTTTACAAATTTGGATAAATTTTAAAATGCAAGATCTGTAATCGACAACCGGAATCGAAAATCGAAATAAATAAGCAAATAATATAATAATAGTAGTAATATTTACTTTAGAAGTCATTTGTTTTAAAATGTCATAACCTAACGAACAAATCCATGCATGATATACGTATTTCATTCATTCTAAACGTTTTAAGCATAATAATAGCAAGCATTGATAACAACAATAATAAATAATATTTGAAACAATTTTAATTTTACAAATTCGTACACTAATAATACATATTAATATAATTAATAATGATTGTCTGAAAATTCCCCAATACTTACTATTTTAACCAAAAAATATTTGGGATATCAGTTCCTTCGGAAAAACTTTTTGCACTGATGCGGGAGAACAAATTACTTTGTTACGAATAGACTTAGCTCGAAGTCAGTTGATCATGTCCTTTTCTTGAAACGAAACAAAAAAATTTGTTGATAATTTTTTTACCCATCAAAGAATAATAAAAAAATAAAATAAAACGGGATTGATTGAAGTGACGGCAATGTAAAAATCAATTATTTCGATTCGATTATCGATTATGAAAAATTAATCGATTAACCATCCCATATGGTATGCCCCATATTAAGAAATAAAAAAATTATTATTAATCAATGTTTACTTGTTTGATATAAAAAAAAGGCTAGTAAGCTCGGAATCCCTGAAATTAATTTGTGGCGTTGTAATTGTATTGCATTCCCCATATAATCTCCCCAAAACTTCAAAATTTTTCACATGAGATTAATTGTTTGTCGTGCAATTTTGGGGTTGGTGCAGATCTGTTTGTTGTCATGTTTATTGTTTGATGGACAAACCGCCCCAAAAATTTTTATTTTTAAAATTATAAATTAATAAAAATTTTAGCCTCCTTATATTTTTTCTTTTCTTGTTAAATTATTATAATTTAAAAATGTCAGTAAACTATATTAAATCAAAAGTTTCACCAACGATAGCGACAAAAGCTACGCCCACAATTACAACTAGAAATCGCAAATTTTCACCAAAAACCAAAAATTTCAAAGACGAGTTTTCTTTAGATTATATCAATTATGATCATATAGAAGCATTCAAAAATGCTTTAGAAGAAGATCCTGATAAAGATCCAAATGAACATATTAGTGCCATGACCGATTTTATGCCGATTAGACAAAAAATTAAAAAAAAGAAACCTAAAGTTACAAATTTCGATGGAATTTCATATCATATAGTTAGATTTCCATTGATGGTAGATATTCTGATTAATTTCACTCATTCATTCTTTCTAATTTGATCATTGTTCTCAGACCAATTAACTAATATTCATTGTCTATATATATATAGTTAATTATATTTCTAATTATTACTTTTGAACTATTGCTCTATATTTTGGTACGACAAATAGTAAATCTATGGGAATATTTCTTTCAATGGTAAATTAAATAAATATATATATATATTAATTCGTGTCTAAAGCATGTGATAACCATAATTACAATGATAATAACTCATTCTTATTAAAAGGAGAGGTGAACGAAGAAAATTACGTGAACAACTTCGTAAATCAACAACATATAATGAATGGATTGATGCTGCACAAAAACTGGATTTTTATTTCAAATATAATGAATGGAAAGATGAAATACCTTTCGGCTATTATGACTTTAATCTTTTACAAAAAGTTAATCGTGATTTGAGAACTATACGTGACAACCCAAATGAAAATCCACAATTGTTAAAAAGTGTTCTTCAAAATTGTGTAAAAAATAATTTTGCCGGTGTTGAAAATTCTAGATTATATTCTCAAACTTATTATGGAACAAAAAAAATTGTCGAAGATCATATTGATGAAGGTGAAATTTATTCCAATAGTTGTTTTTTTTTTTTTAAAAAAAATAAACTTTGTTATAATAAGCATTATATATATGATAACTATAGTGACGGCATCATTAGAATATATTAGGACAACTAAAAATTTATCATTAGAAGATAAACAAAAGTTATTTAGAAATGCAAAAAAAAATTATGGTCAAACAGCTTTATGTCTTAGTGGTGGTGCTTGTTTTGGCTATTATCATCTTGGTGTTGTTAAGGCTCTTTTTGAAGCTGGTCTTCTGCCAACAGTGATCACTGGTACCAGTGCTGGTGGTTTAATTGCTGCATTAATTTGTACAAGAACCGATGATGAATTACATCAAGTCTTAAAACCTGAATTAAGTCAAAAACTTACAGCATGTGAAGAACCTTTTCCTAATTGGTTGTACAGATGGTGGAGATCTGGTGCTAGGTTTGATGCCGTTGATTGGGCAAAAAAAACTCAATGGATCACGAAAGGTAGTTTAACTTTTAGAGAAGCTTATCGACGAACCGGAAGAATACTCAATATTTCAGTTATCCCTTTTGATCCACATTCTCCTCCAAAAGTATTAAACTATATTACTGCTCCTGATTGTGTTATTTGGTCTGCCGGTAAATCTTTGTTATATATCTATTGTCTATGTTTTTTTTTTTAAAAAAATACATTGCATTTAAAATCCTTCTTTCTTTTTAGTGATTGCAAGTGCTGCAGTACCTGGAATTCTTAATCCAGTTGTTTTAATGCAAAAATTAAAAGATGGTACTTTGGTACCTTACAATTATGGTAATCGGTGGAAGGATGGATCATTACGTACTGACATACCAATTGAACCACTTAATATGCATTTCAATGTTAAAAACCCTATAGTTTCACAAGTGAATCCACATATTCATTTATTTTTTTATGCGCCAAGGGGTTCAATAGGTAGACCTGTTACTCATCGTCATGGTAGGGGCTGGAGAGGTGGTTTTCTTGCAGCAGGCGTTGAACAATACTTGAAATTGGACCTGAGTAAATGGTTGAAATGGGTTAGAGATCTAGAACTACTACCAAAAGTCGCCGATCAAGACTGGAGCTCAATTTGGCTACAAAGATTTGATGCAAATATTACTATTTGGCCAAAATCTAGCATTTGGGATTTCTTATACCTTCTTGCAGATCCTGATTATGAACGACTTGATCGAATGATTACAACCGGTCAAAGAGTCACTTGGCCTAAACTTCATATGATCTCTAATCGGTTAAGAATTGAACGTGCAATTCAGAAAGGTAGACAATCAGTTAGGCGTGAACTAAATAAACAACTCAAGAATCGTCAATCATCTAATGATAATTATGACGCTATTATTGATAAAGATGAAGGCTCTAATATTGTCAATGGTAAAACTTTTGTTACTGACAACTATGATGATGTTAATAATAGCGATAGTATTAGCAAAAAGAGTTTTAATGACAATAGTAGTGGAAGTGATGAATTAGATCTTTCTAGTGGTCATTACGAATCAACAAATAGTTTTGACACTAATAGTAGTACTGATAGTGGTGATAGTGATTATAATTCAAAAAAATTATCACCGTCATACTATGATACATTTTATCGAAATAACAAATCATTATCTTCTTCTGAAGATGATGAATATGATGGATTAGTAACACCTGAAGATGGTCAAGATTTAATATGATAAATGTTAATTTATCGTTTTTTTTTTTTTTTTTAATTTAATTTCAAGTTATTTGCTAATTTAGAATGATAAGTAAGTCATCATCATTTTATAAAATAATTGTTTTATCATTCTTTTAAATACATGATTGACTCATTTATTGTTTATTTATTTATTTGTTTTATTATTATTCAAATACATATATATATATATATTGAAATTTTTATTTAATTAAAAAAATTACAAAATAAAAAAAAATTTCGTAATTGAAAAAAATTGCCATTTTTTTCTTATTAATAAATAGACTTTCAATGAAATTTTTTTTTTATAAAATTAATATAAAAATACAAATAACTAATTAAATAATTGAAAATACATGTGTATAAAATAAAAGTTAATTATCTGCCAAAATATTGCTATCCACTAATCATTTCAACAACAAATTTTGTTTGAGTTCCTTGATTAACCCTCTCCCATTTTTCAGCTTCTTTCTCACGTTTAAGATTTCTAATCATATCTTCTGATTTCTTTCGTTCTTCTTGTTCTTTAGATATTTGTTTTTGTTGTTCGCTCCTTAAATCTGCCATCATTTTTCTAAATTCTTTTCTTAATGCAGTAGTGGTAGTAGGTTCATTATTATTAGAATCCAATCCAATATGCTTTATACGTTCATCAGCCAATTCATTTTCCAACTGTTCGCACTTGCGTTGTAAAGTATCAATCTGTTTTTCAAGTTTTTGCCTTTCTGTATCAAAATCCATGAAATTTCTTGTTAACCTATCAAATTCTTTTAGTAACCCATCTAACTCATTTTGTATACCTGCATTACTTTTTTCTAATGCGTCCTCGCGTGATGAGAATTCTTCTTGGGCAAGTTCCAAATTAGCATTTGCACTTTTTAATTGTGCTTCTAAATCTTCTTTTGCCGCTCTTAAATTTTTTAATTCTTCGTGTGCTGCGTCAAGCTGTATTTTAAGTTGTTTGGCATCATTCTCACTTGTATCACCTGACCTATTATTGTATTTATTAGCTTTTGATAATTCTATCCTTGCTTCTAGATCCGATTTAAGTTTAACAATTTCACTCTCCAAGTTATTAATAGTGACTTCTCGTTGATCTAAAGTTCTTGATTTAGATTTCAACATGAGATTTAATTCATTAACAGTTTGCAACAAATTATCTTTTTCTGTAGAAACGGTTTTAAAGTCTTTGCGTAATTTTGTTATGACAGCATCACGTTCTTTAAGTTGTCCCTCGTATTCTTGTTCTTGAGACTCTAATTGTTGTTGGAATTCTTCTTTGGCAGAAGTACCTTCATTAACAAATTGTAAAACAGATTCTCTTCTCAGAGTTGCTTCGTATTTACGAATTTTTTCTTTACTATTATTAAGCTGTTGATTTAGGTCTTCGATTTCTTTTAGTAATTCCTCTTCTCTTTCTGATGTTGATTCAACTTTAGATTTCTCATTCAAAATTTTTTCTTCCAAGTCTGCTAATTTTGCTTTAGTCTCTTCCAATTCATTTTGCGTATCTTGTAATTCTTTCCTAAGTTTTTCTTGTTGTTTAGCTTCCTTCAATTGCTGTTGTATAATTTTTGCCTCTTCTTGTAACAATGAAACATTCTCAATCAATTCACGATTTTCTTTAATCTTATCATTTACCATTGAAACAAACAAATTAAGATTAAACTCTGATCCTAATTTAGATGATTTTTTGTAACCATTATCGCTATTATTTAAATCATTAAACAATTGTTGTATGCTATCAAACATTTCCTCGTATTCACGGGTCACTTTTTTTAATTTCAAATCTAGATTGGTATTGCTCTTCTCTTTTTTCCTCATTTCAGAAACTTGATCCTCCAAAACTTTTATCTGTTTTATTTTTGATTCCAATTCGATTATTTTGATTTTTTGAATTCCCTCGTGCTCTCCAGCGATCGCATCATTAAATTTCGCCCTTAAATCCTCGATTTCTTTGTCTTTTCTTTTTATCAAATTTTTTGCCTCTGATAACGATTGACGCACATTCTGTAATGAAGCTTCTAAACTCGAAACTTGATCTGATGATCTACTATCATTTAATGCCATTAATTCATTATACAACACATCAATGTTATTGCTATCATTTCCATTTGGCATAGTGGACAATGAATTTACTAATTGTATAGATTGTGATCGTGTTGGCTTTCCTTCTAGCCTTGTTATTCCTAAACTAAGTACTCCGGACATATGCTGTAATAATTTCCTTTGTATGTCACCAGCTCTTTGTGTGAGTTTCCATAATTCAGCAGCTACCTGATCAACTTTACGATTTGCTTGCATTAAATGATCTGTTGCTTGCCTTGATATTCGTTTGTTAGAAGCATGAAGTTTTGCTAATGAGCTAGCAGCTTCACGAATTTTTGATTCGAGTGATAGTTTGGCTGTTAAGGCTGCAATGCGTGTTGTTAACACAGTGTAATCCTACAGAATATAACGAAAAATAAAAATTTTTTTTTTGATTAAAAAAAGAAATGAATGAGATGTGACTGTCAAATAAAAATTTTTTTTTTTTGCAGGATGGATTTTATTCAAATTGCAAATTTCATGTATTAATGCACTTTTGTTGATGAATATATAAAAGGGTGTGCCTAACAACTCAAATAAATAGTAAATCAAAAAATTTTAAACATTAATATATAATCTAACTCTAGCTCTACAATTAAAAACAAAAAATTTGCTTTTTTTTTTCTTTAATTCAAATAAATCCATTCCACAATTAAAATTTCGAGATTAAAAAAAATATATATCACCTAATATTTATTTATTTATTAACAAACCTTTTTTAGTTCTTCTACTTCTTCCAAACTTAGTAGGTCAAATCCTTTTGAATCGATTATAGCTTGAGAAACTAACAGTTGCAGCAGCATTTCATCAGTAGTATCTAGAAAAGACATTGAAGTAAATCTCTGATTGTTGGTAGTCAACATAGCTTCTGAATTAGCAAGTATATCGTTTGCAATAGCTAAAGTAGGCAATTTAACTTTTCCTGTTGAAGTAGGTGAGGATGATATTAAAGAGTTTTCATATAAACTTTGTGTAGAAGTTGGTGAGGCAATGGTATTATAACTATTTATGGAATCACGCCTTTTTACAGACTTTACAGATTCTTCGTATTCACTACCACTGTCAGGAGAAGGTATGGCTGGTAAAACCCGGTCACGACTATTATGAGATTTGATAGAGTTTGTGTCAATGGAAGGAGTTGATTTTAAAGGTTTTGGTTTTATGATTGTAACTGGTTGAGAGGTAGAAGTTATTGCCATTGTACTAATAACTGGTTGTACAATTGTAGTTTGCGTTGAGCCAGTTATGGGTATGTTAACATTAGAACCAGAACTTCTCAAAGGTGATTTTACTGGTGCTTTAGGAGCTTGATTTAAGAAATTTAAATCTCCTGTCGGATTATTATTATTGTTATTGTTATTGTTATTATTACCTCCAAAATCTCTATCTGGGTTTGGAACTGGTTTTCTTCTTGAGTAGGAACTTAATGAAGTTGTAGACATTTTTAATGTTTTATTGGGAATATTGATTCTAAAAAAATTTTTTTTTTTTAAAAAAAATTATTAAAAAAATAAATGTTTTTTTTTAAGGATATAATAAATATTTTTTTCTGGTAAATGAATGAATGCTATTAGATAGTACGATCTTATGATTTTTGCTTCCTTTTGTTTTTTATTTATTAATTTTATTAAATTTATTAAATATGCAAAAAGGAAAATATATATTGATGTAACCAAAAATTTCAATGTACAACAAAGTGTGATAAGGAAAGGGCCAGAAAATACGTGATTATGAGTGTGGAGGGGGAGGAGGGTTCAGATCGTCTATAATCAAAAAAAACAATATTAAATTTTATTCAAAACTTTTTATTAGACTATTAGACTATAATATCATTATGCAAAAAAAAAACTCGATATTTCATTGTTAATTAAAAAATTTTAGAACATGATTTAAGATAAATTAAACAACAAATATATCGGCGGCGTCGTCCATTACTTTGTACCACTGAATATATATATACAAATCGTCCATCAATTTCAAAAATGCTAACCGTTTATGACCATAGTTTTTAATAAATGATAATCACCGAATCTGAATTGCAGAACTCTAGTTATTGTTCCATGTTCAATTTCGGTTAATATACATGTTATGACCTTGGCTTCAAAACTTATTGGTTGAATTTATTTTATATGACTCAGAATGTTACACGGAATATATTTTTAAAAAGTAGTTTTCAAAAAAAATTCAAGGTAATAGGGTGGTGTCTTTAAGCTATATGATATGTAATAATAAACAGCGTTGAATTTCAACTGCAAACCAGTACAAACCAGGAAAATATATCAGAATTATAATGTGTATCGTAACATCCGTCGATTCCGTTAATCGATTGAATGGATTATAGTTTCTGCTTTCACGTTGTATGTAACACGAAAATTACGGAATTTATGAATTAAGTAATTATATGAATCAAATTATATATATATTCAAGTTTTTTTATTATTGATTACAACAAATAGAGAACTTCGGGAAAAAAAAGAACTTATATTGTTTCTACAACTTAATTATAGGCATTGCTTCGTGCAACTTTGTTATTGATAACACCAATTCTATTATCAACAGTTCTCAAAGTCTCACCTCGTTATGTAGAACCTGTTTTATGGAAATGTATGGCTTTCCATTTATTTTTGGTGTATCTGTCGGTGGAATTGGAAAATTAAAACTTGTTCATCGACAGTTTGTGACCAAAAAAATAACAAACGAAATCGTATTAGTTAGGAATTTGCTATTGTGTGGATTAATATTTTCATTTTCAACAATCATTAATGGTTAAATTACTATTTGAATTAAGTAGTCTACTAGGTCCGTATATGTGATTCCGACTTGGTTTAGCATATTTTCGTTGGGATTTTTTAATGAAATTAATTGTTTGTGCAAGATTATCTAGAGAAGAATTTTTGGATGGATCTAATGGATGTTTCTATTCTACAAATGCTTACCTATGTTATTTATAGTGTTTTTACCTTGTCATCGATTAAGTTTTGCAGGTTTAGTGTTGGCATTGATAGGTAGGTTACCTTATTTAAGAATTTGAATAGTATATATGATGAGGTTAATTTGGTTGAAAATGCAGGCTAAAGAAAAATGCTTTTGATAAAATATAATTCAGGTTTTTATTCTTTGACGTGCTATAAAAATCATCATTTAAAATTTAGTAATGAATTAATTACTGGTTGGATTAGTATAGTTGAAACAAATAGGCCTTATCATACGCATGTAATGTGTGCTGGTCATTCGTCGTCAGGAGTAATATTTTTGATTCTGTTTATGGAATGCAAAATAATCAATTATTTTTTATCGGTTGGGTTGGTTAAAAATAGAAGCTGCAGTAGAGCTTTACAGATGTATGTATGTAAAATAGCCTCAATTTTTTTCTTTACTATTGGAAATGGTTTTTTTAATGAGCAAACTTGCAACCAATAGCTTTTTTGATTATGGATTTTGATATACCAGAAGAGATAATAATATCACTACCCAAATTGACAAAGGTTGCTGCAAAGATGCTATCATTGAAGGTAATTATCTTCCTATTATATTTGTGAGGTATACATGTATTCTGCTAACAACTGATCTTTGTTGATTGGGAGTTAGAGTTTCACAGAAACCATTACAATTACATAGAGTGGCATTAGGCATTAATATAGTGAGCTTGATCCAGTAATATAAGAGTATGTTGGATATTTTTTTGGATTACAACGTAAACACAATATTTAGTCGACATTATGATTATGTGCCATGTTGCGTGATGTATTTACTGGTGATTAGTTCCATCCGTATTATTATCAATTGAACTTTAAAGTATGATGGTGTATTGGCTTTGGTAAGTAATGGAAACTTTTTTATTTTCTTTATTAAAAAAAAAAAGAATATTAAATAGTTTCTTTTGTTATTATTAGAATTTTGAAAAATGGCCATAAGCTAAAAGTTTAGTATCAGTTGAAATATAATTTAAAAAGTTTTTCCCAAACGTAAGATGTTTAGAGAAGGTTTACAAGATGAAGATTTTTCAGAGTATAAAAATCAATTATTACTATGACTTGCTATTACAGATAAAAAATTTTTAATTTTTTGTTCTACATATATAAAGTTTCGCCTTATTGATTATTTAAATAGTACAATGAGATGCTAGAATAATTACTAATTAACAAAATCTTTTAAGTGATTTGCAACTTTTGAACAATGAGAGATTTGTTCCCATTGAAATTTTGGACAAGCTATTAAAATATATAAATTTGCATATATGTCTGATTTTTATTTAAATTTCTAATAACAATTAATTTTGTTTCACTTATACGTTTAAAAAAAAAAACAATGTTTGAGCGAAAAAAGAGAGAGCATATTCGTATTTGTTGATGTTAAATCCAATTTATCTATCTAATACATGAATTATCCTTAATTTTGCTTGAATTGATAGTAAAATTTATTTGAAGCTTCATATAAATATTTTTATAAAGTTGTGTGCTATTCCTATTAAAATCTATTGCTCTGTAACAACGCCAATTCAGTTTGATCTCTGAATATTTAGATTGAAAATAACAAGCTAATTGTTTTCCCATAATGTTCAATAGATTAAAATAATTTATTTTCATTTCTGCTAAATGTTTAAAAGTGTGAATTTGATGTTTGTACACAATATTTTCATATAAAATATAACCTGTTTCATAAAACCTTAGAATGATCCTATCTATAAAAAGTCCATAATGTTCTTCGATTAATTTTTCAAAAATTTCAACAAATTTATCAACATTGTTACTAGCATTTTGAATTAACCAGTCAATCTTTACGTTTTCGACTGGAATTTGAAAGTAATCTAATTCCAATTCCAATTCTCTTCTTGTGACATGATAAAAAAATTGAGAATTATTATTATTAGTATTATTAATAGTCTGATTATTATTATCATCGTTATCATTATGAATATGATTAATTTCTTTTGGCCAATTTATTATTCCTGTCCGATAAAATTCCATGATGTAATGAAATGCATAACCATTACGATCAAAAAAATATTCATTGTTATTAGCTGGATGAAGCAAATCTTTATTCCTTTCTTGAAACATTGTTCCTAATAATGTATCAGGGTATGTTGTAAGTGTCGAACGAAATGTTTGATACTGTTGGATAAATGAATAAATTTGTTTATATGAATTTATTATAATAATAATAATAATAATAATAATAGTAATAATCAATAAATTCATAAATTAATAATATTAAGAAAACTAATGAAAAAAAACCAACCCTCACACCGCCAACAATCAATACGACAATTTCTTGATCTTTAGATTTATTTGCCATCTTTACAAAATAATGTGTGAAATTTCTTGTGATAAAAGTCTGATATTAATAAGAGTAATGATCGACATCGCGCTTTAAAAATATTGGGTATTTAACATGTGGACATTCCTTTTATATCATTTATATTGTGTCGATCATCTTTCATACTCTTTTCACTTCAACATTCCTGTTCTATTCGAAGTAGCGACTTTTATTCCTCAATTTGCAAGTCATTACTAAAATACCTGTTGGTTTTTGTTCCGTTTGCAAAATAGAAAAAGACGACTACAAGTGGTGAAATGTTTCAGAACAAGGGAAAAAAGCCTAAACTATCAAGGAATTATGAATTAAGTATAAGCGAAAGAATATGTCCTAAATGCTATAAGACTTGCATAGCATACGATAGTTATGATAGATATAAAAGAAAATCTGAAAATGCACTGTATAAAATAAGAAAACAAATTGAAATTGATGCAAACACTGACATGTCTAATTTAGTTTACAGAAGTTACAAAGTCAAATTATAGGAATTGGAAACAATTACTAGGCCATCAAGTCAACATATTAAATATTAATTTTATTATTTCAATAATTAAATAAAAAGACTTTATACAATTATCAACATTGCGAAAAAAAACAAAATTATTAATGATCCTGATGAATTTGTAAAAATGGTCAAAGAAAGTGATCAAAGTATGAACCCTTCAAAAAATTCTTCTACGGAAATAGGTTTAAAAAGAAAAAGTAATGATTCTTTGATACCAGATGTATTTAACATTTTTAAGGAAATTTTATCAATTAAAGTATTACAAACATCCGAAAAAAGTATTACGACATTCGAAAGTATCAGTATTACAAATATTACGACGAATATTCAAAAGTACTATCAGTTATAGATATTTGAATATTCCAAAGTATTACCGGATACTCGAAAGTATTATCTTACTATTACTTCAAAAGTGTTACGAGTATTCGGATATATAAAAATTATTTGACACCAATTTCGAATATGTGATTCGAATAGTAATAGGAACACTACCCGCCGCACCTTAGCAAAAATTCACATAAAAGAAAATATATAAGTATAAAACAATAATTCAAATTTCAAAGATTAATTTACAATTTATTGTACTTTCTATAATTAAAGAAAGAAGGAGCGCAAACATGAATCAGCGAAATAATCGATCAATCAAACACCTTTGCATGAAAAGTTGTATTATGCTTTCGACCTACTACATAATATTTTCTGTACGTGTAGATAGAAAAAAAAACACGGATTATTTTTTTTTACTTTGGGGATACAGAATCAGTTTTTCCATAGTAAGTTCATTGATTCAGCAATTAAATAACATCTATACATTCAAACATAAATGTTGTCTTTTTTTAAGTCCATATTTCTTCCGTTCATAAAACAAATCTGTTTTTGGAAGATCCTAGTTAGATTCACAATCTTTGGACATCCATCTCTCTGTAAAAACAATAATAATTAAAATCAAATAAACCAATAAATCTAATGTCAATTAATTTACTCCAGGAGCACCACAAATCACGCAACGACCCTGTAATTACGTTCATCATATATTCTAATAATTTATTAACCATAAAAATTCTAAAGTAGATTAGAGGGAAAGAAAAATACTCACCAAACAAAGCATATCGAGTCTCACATAACTATTATTATATTAAAAAAAAACATATTACTGTTTGGAATATGTTTTTTTTGTGAACAAAAAAAAAAAAAAAGGGCCATGCGGATAATCCTATACTACTGGAAATTGCATTAGGTGCAACTAATACTTTTGATGAAATCCTAAACTTCTAATGATAAAATAATCAAATCTTTAGAATGGATAAAGATTGCAAATATTGGAAGTACAGTTTAAAGTAGTGTAGATTAGCTTTAACAATCAAATTAATTGAAATGTATTTATTGCTTTATTCACTTTTTTTAATAAAGCTACATCAAGATGGTTTGAATTACGAATCACACATTTTCCATCACACTTTTCACAAATGATGATGATGATGGTGATGACGACGATAATGATGTTGTTAAATCATAAAGCTGACTTACCAGGTTGCTTTCTACATATAAATAAAAGTGATATTTGAATATTTGAATATTTACGATTATAATATTTTTTTGGTTATTTGAAATATGACTATTCGTAATGATAATAATAATAATAAATATTTACAATAATATTAAATCATTCACATGAATATATTATATCTCTTTGTATTTTGTTTGTTAAATGAACTTTAATTTGAAATCTTTCTTGGCGAATGACAATTAGTAACGGCACAATAATAATTGATGATGGTGATGGTAATTCGGCTAATACTTCTTCAAATAAAAAAAGGAAATTTGAAATAAATAAAGGTAGACTAAGGATAACTTCATTTTGGAAAATTATGATGGTTATAGAATCTGTAAAATAAAGGCTAACGTATCTTCTGAACATCCAGATGAGATATCGCATCTCTCGTTTATTATACATGTACATGGTATTCTTCAACCAAATGAGAAGGAAAAGGTAAAATACTTTGTGATTAGATAAATTTGTAGTTAGAATAAAAAAAAGCGGATATTTGATAACATAATAATAATAATAATATCTGAATATTCGAAATATTCGAAATTTCCATTGCCAAAAGTCATCTGATATTTTATTATTATTATGGGTGGGTGATCTTTTTTTTATTCTCCCATTTTAAATTATACAGAAATTGTGTCATAAGTAAAAATTGATCTAATAAAAATAAGTCTTGGAAAAAAAAATGATAGATCACCTTTTAGGAAGACCCTCTCCCTCTTGGAAACGTTTTCAAGTTTTTTTGATTTCTTTTACATGGTATGAGAATTTTTTTGTACGTATAAGAATTTAAAAAATTTTACTCAACAAAAAAAAAAAAACTTTTTTTCAAAGGTTTTATTATCTATTCAAAGCTGATAGTAGAGGGCCAGAGTTTCTTCGAAAATGGAATAAAAAACTATGTAAGCTTTTCAATTTCAGATTTTATGCAGAAATCTTAATTTACAAAATTGTGAACTTCTCTTTTATTTTTCCTTTAAATTTAGTACGGTTTTCTCCCTTTCAGATAGTTACTGGTACACTAGCTATTTTATATATATTAAAAAATGCTGATCGTATTGTAGGTTTAGGAGGTAAGAAAAAGAGTTGATTTTTCCTATATATATATATATTTTGATTTGTATACTGTTTATTTATATTTATTTCAATTTATAAACAGCACCTGAGCCTTTGGCAAGATTAGTATGTGATATATATTCGTTAATTTTTATTACACGATAATTATTTATTGTTATAATAAATCTACCATTATGAAATAATAAATAGTACAGTCGAAATTATTATCGAGCAACATGGATTTTGAGTGCTTTGGATGCTGGTTTTTTAACAGCAATGTCTATTCGGCCAAAAATTTTAAGAGATATTATGTCTCTGGTTTTTTCAATTTATTATTTGGTTTTCGCCGATCAAGCTGATGAAAAAGTAACTATATATATATATATATTGATTAATACATTACATCAATAATTAACAAATAATTAAATAATTCATTTTCTAATTTGATTAATTTTTTGTTATTAGATTCGTCGTATACGTGCAACAATTACTGTTGAACATTTAAGATGTTCGTTTGAAAAAACCATGAATCCATATCTGAGATTTCTGATCAAATTAACACATCCACGTCTTCAAATATTTAGAAAAAAAATAATCATTCCACGTCCAAAAAAAAACTCACATGGAACAAGACCCGTAATTGGTTATTTATATTATTCTGAAAATGAACAATCCTTGAAAAATAATTGTGACAAATTAATATTAAATTATTCTGGTGGTGGATTCGTCGCAATGAATCCTATATGTCATGAGGATTATTTATGTAATTGGGTAAAAAAAGTTCGAGTTCCTATTCTTAGTATCGATTATGGAAAAGCTCCTGAATTTCCTTATCCATATGCGTTGGAAGAATGTTTCGACGCTTATCAAAGTATCATGGAATCTAATGGAGAAGTTATAGGAATGGCTGGTTGGCATGATCAAAATGGTAATGATAAAAAACAAATCAGCATTGTTTTAATTGGTGATTCAGCGTAAGTAATTTTTTGAGATTTTTTGATAAATATTTCGGTTAATAATAAATAAATATTAACATTATTAATATTTTTTTTTTTTGTATAAAAAAAAAGTGGTGGAAATTTGGTTACATCTGTCATGTACAAGATACTTGAATCTCCAATTCCAATCCCTCATCCCAGATCTTTAATACTCATTTATCCATGTCTTAATTTTGATATAACAAGTTGGATGCCTCAAGATCAATTATCAGTAATCAAAGCTGAATCAGCATCAACTAATTCTATTTCATCGGATGTTTTAGAATCAAAAGATCATTTAGGTCATAAAAGTCCTTTAGCTGTTGTTCCAGATGTGAAAAAAGGAGGATGGAAAAGAAAATTTTCAAAAACATCGCGTGAAAAAGATAAAACTATTGAAGAGCGCGTGAAATTTTTGGAAGGTCATGAAGTCGAAAGAGGAAATGACATTAGTGAAAAAAATAAACGTACTTTGATTGGTACACGACTTACTATGACTAGTCGTGTGAGTTATTTTAGTGATCGAATAATTACTCCTGATATGGTAATGATTATTAAATTTAATTTTTTTGGCATGAAATATGAATTTATTATACTAATACTAATATATATTTTTTTAAAAGATGCGTGCAATGGCAATTTTATACATTGGACCTAATAATTGTCCTGATTTTAATGCTGATTACTTGCTTTCACCAATTATTGCTCCAGATGAGTTATTAGCACAATTTCCGAAAACATACTTATTATGTGGAGAAAAAGACCCACTTGTTGACGATACAATAATTTTTGCAGGAAGGCTACGCGAAGCGAAAAAAAAGAAAAGCTTGATGACGTTGGTGACAGATAATGACAAAAATAACAACAATGACAATAGTACTGACGATAATATAGTACAAGTAAAGATTATTGAAGGAGTAAGTCATGCATTTTTACAAATGTTGGCTTTTTTGCCTGAATGCCGTGGTGCTATTAGAACAGTTTCTCGTTGGTTCGTTGAAAGTTTTCAAGAACATCATCATCAGAGCAAAAATAGTCACAACTTATTAATTAATAAAACATCATCAATAAGTAACAATAATAATTCAAACAATACTCAAAACTTAAAATCACAACAAACCAACAATTTTCAAATTACAATGCCTTCTCAAATACCTTTTAATCAAATTTCCAAATCAGACTCATCAAATCCAGATACAAGTGATTCATCAAATAATGATAGTCATGATAACGATAACATAACTCACCTACATCCTCATCATCCACATGTCACATTACCAGAACCAGTGTTGACACCAGCTCATGAACATCATGATCATTTTCTATGGGAAAAAGAAAATATTTTGAATGAGAATGAAATTTTGAAAAGACGTACGGATACTTTTATTAAACATTTGGCAGAAGGTTGTAATACTACAATAGAACAAGATGATGGTAATTCAGTGTAATAAACACATTTATATTTAATTATTTGAAAATTTTATTTCTTAACAATGTATATTTATTATCATACCATACATATCCTATTTAAGAAATACTTCAATTTGTAAATTTTATCAGCTTGAAAAAATTTTAATAATATAATAGATTTTATATATAATAAATAATAACATTATTGCATTTAAAAAAATATTGTTTTTAAAAAAACAAATTTATTTATCTTCTTGGTCTTGGTTTAACCACCAATTTGTTTGGCTAAAATACCCCAAGGATATAGGGATGTCTACTTCCATGAGGATGATCCACAAAATTTGTTGCAGTTGGTCTAATACCTAAGCATCTGGATCTTCCTGCTTTACCTAATATACAATGTTCCAATTGTAGCACCTCTCCTGATGCAAGGCATACTTGCGCAAAACCTTTTCACCTGTACACTAATGATGTATGATGAAACTTTTGACTTTAGTCATTGATGTAGTTTCTCACCAGGGCCATTTTTGACGATTTGATTAAAGTAAAAGCCATTGACGTAAGTAAAACCACTTGAAGTAAGTAAAATGCTTGATATAAGTAAAAATGCTTGATACAAACAGCAATAATGATAATTATAAATAGGAGTATCAAAAGTTCCAAATTATGTAAAAATGTGTGTCCCGGGGATGAATAAAGAATTATTATAATTGTATGTATATTGCAATGATACAAGAATAATTATCATGGAAAGTTACAAATATTATAATTTGAATTAGAAATTTTACTTAATCTATTTAAAATGCCTCTTCTTTTTTTACAAATTAAAACCATTCTTTTATTATTACATTTCATAAAATGTAAAGAATCCAAATTGTCTTTACATATATATGAATTGTGTTAAATTGATGTTTTCAAATTTTTGACTTTGAAGTTAACTACAAAACTACACGTAATAGTAATACGCAATAATATTTTGAGCTGTCTTTGGAGTCTGAGTTTGAAGCAACATAGGTTGATTAATATTGGTGGTACTTAGAACGACCTTTACATACCACATAAGATAGGTTTTGGTAGATATTTTTGTAAGTTTTAATTTGTTTTCAAAGAATGTTGAATTTCTTTCATTGTTGAATCACGATAAATCAATCGCTAGAGTTTGGTGATGATGAAGTTGTTCTTTAAATAATGCAATTTTTGTTTTTCAAACATCCTTATTATTATCAATTAATAAAAAAAAAATTGACGAAGAAATTGTTTGTTACACGCCATTCAATTCTTTGCAAAGAAAAGGGAAATAATCTCGAATTTTATATTTTATATCTTATATAATGTCATATAGTAAATTTTTATCATTGTTATCATCAGAAAGGAAGAAATTTGTATATAAAATTGACAATGAAATGCGTATTAATGCTAATACTAATCCTGATAGAGAAAGTATAAAAAAAATTTTTTTTTCATTAGTCAAGAAAAACAAGGAGCTTTCTGAAAATGAAAAAGAGTATTGTAAAGAGAAGTTTATTTATGAACTTGAATTACAGAATGCAAGAGATAAATTGGGAAAACCAAAAGAATGTAAAAAGTGTAAATTGACAAGATACTCTGATAGGTTCTGTGAAGGTTGTATTAGTTTACAATTACAGAGTCTTTTCACCAC